AGGTTGTAGAGGACGTATGGAAGGGGCTCGACATCGACGAAGATGAAACGCTGGAAACGGAGGGTCTACAGGGGTTCAAGGAGAAGATATATGTTGCTTGTGCCGAGAGAGAAGAACAGACTAAGGAAAGAATCCAAGGATGNTAGGCCCACAATTTATTTTTTTGAGGCCGCCCTGGTAAGGGTCCCTCTCCGGTGTTGTGCGAGGAAGAGGAGGTATATGAGCGGTTTTTCGGTGGATTGTTTCCGTTTCTCGAAGCGGCGTGCTCGGGATGGAGGCGATTGCGCCTGTATTTTTTTGTGGCGCACCTTTTCCTGCCTCCTCTCCTTGAGGACATGTGCATGATACGTCACAAGCGCGAATGATGGGAGTCCCCCCCTGCTTTTACTGTGGTCCGGATTCGACGAGCACGTACCCCCCCCCCCCCCCCCCCCCCCCCCCTTCGTAGCTCCTCGTCCCAATCGTGTTTAAACATCATTCTGGGAGCTGTTCGATGATCGTCCTCCCGTCGAGTACGGCCCTCCCGATCAGAAGAAGAAAATTTTGGATGTAGACGGAGTGCGTTCATGTTCCACTCTCTCTTCGTAGTTCCCCATCCCAATCGTGTTTGGAATGGCCATGCTTACAACAAGGCATGGATAGCTCATCCGCTGACAAGGGTAGATAGCCTACGTCCTCACCGCAGAAATGAAAAATAATGGTGCCCCTCTCTCTAATATGTGCCACAATTTTTTTGTTGACTTACCTGAATCCGGTGGCTGCGAGCTTTGCCGTGGACCTCTCTGTGACGTTGCCCGGCCCCTTCGTGCGCTCGTTGGCCTTGGTGATCCTCTTGAAGGTCTTCTCCGCACGGTGCGCTTCGAAGACGTAGCCCTTTACGCAAACAACAAGAAAAGAAAATGGAGCAAGCGCATCTTTGTTTCACTCGGTTGGGTTTGCTGCACCAAGAAGGCGCGGATGAAAAGAGCGCAACAACACCGTTACGTAGCCAAAAAAAAAAAAAACACACACACACACAACACAACACACATACACATATACACACATGGTTTGCCGGTTATAGTTCGGCGATGCTTATTTCACGACACACACGACCATGGTCAGCCCGCTAGCGCGGTCGGTGGTACCAAAAACCACACGCACACACAAGCGGCATTTCTTCGCACAACCGTCACGAACACACACCTTGCACTCATCCACCAGAGGGAGGCCTTCCAGGAGCCGGCACACCGAAGGGGGGAAGAACCCCGCGTACCACAGGCTGCCATCCTTTGAACTCCCGACCTGCACGCGGCACGTGACGACGCACCAGGAGCAACGGGCGTGGGGGGGGGAGGGGGGGAGCGTGTTTGAGGGGCGTACTCTTATGTTTTGCATGCCGTAGCGGTGAGACCATTGACCGCGCGTCCCCGAGAGGACGGAGCATGGTTTACACGAGGGCCGATCACCGATGGCCAATCGTTCCTTCCTACTTTGTCGAAGGTGATTCAAAAATGTTTTCTCTACCCTACCTAGCCTATCGGTATGACATGCTAGGGGGGGGCACCGGGACACCGATGTCAGACATGCTCTCATCGTCTACAAAAAAACATATTTCAGTGTAAGGCTTAAAAATGCGCAAAATAAGTCCAGTACATATATCTCCGGGACAAGACAACTCGCTGGGACAAAAGGCAAGAACCGGGGTAACTTTGACGTTAGCCCGAGAGCCCGCAAAAAAAAAAAAATCCAGCCGTTTATTCTCCGGCTCACTTGAAAGACTGCAACACATCCCCTTCGGCTGTGGTTATGTCTCCAAAGGGTTTAGTCTTTCTTTGATTGTATGCATATTTTCTACAGAACCGTCCCACAAAAACAGCATACCGTTGCACGCGGTGTGACACGGAGGGAAACGCCGTACAAGGTGCGTCGACGACAGGAGCCTCGAACGGTTCGGCTCCCGGACGAGACGAAACGGCGAGAATTCCGCCGCATACGATACGACACGACACCGCGCGCCACGCACCGCTTCGAAACACCCCGCACTGCTTCGTAAGATACCATACCCCCTGAACCGACTTCAAAGGTCGACTACTACCCCACGACGAAGAGGACTGTCCCAACCAAACCTTACGCCTTTGGAAAGCTCGGGACGATGAGATTTCAGCGCCGCCAATTTGGGCACTGTCGCTGTTTCCGCCGCAGTAATCGAGACTAATAGCATCGGTCTAGAGGGAGTGGTATCGTACGCACCCTACGGTAGTCGCAAGCTACTTAGGCCCAAAGCAGTTTTGCCGAAAACAACAACAAAACAAGACCTCAGCCCCCTCCCCAAATTCTCTACCCTCCGGTATAGTCAACGCTTTCCGCGCCCCACGCCTTGAACAGGGAGGAGAAGGAGGAGGAGGCTCTTGATAGCATCTCCAAAAAATACCACGACGATCATCCATTCCGCAGTCCCTCTCCCTCCACCCATCGCATTTGGGGGCTGAGCATCGTCCGCCTCGATTGACTCACCTCCGGTCCCCCCCCGCGTTCCCCTCCCTTGCCCGCGGAGCCCCCCCCCTTCCCGCCTCCGGCCCCGTTGGAACGACCGTTGGCCTGGCTCATCGCACCAGCGCCGTCGTTGCCGCCGCCGCCGCCACCGCCGCCGCCTGCCCCCCGCCCCCCCAATTGCTGCTGGTGCTGCAGAGATGAAGAGGCGGCGGTCTCAGGCTTGACCTTTGGCGCTCTCGCTGGCGGAAGGACCTCGCCTGTGGACAGGGGACAGGGCATGGACAGCGGCGATTGCAGCAGATAGTCGAGCTCTCGGGTGGAGGGGGTGCCGTACGACGGCAAGTGACCCCTCCCCCCCCTCCCTTAGACCGACTTTCAAAAATCTCGGGTGCTCCGCAACATAGCGCCCGACACATGACGGATACGACACAAACGTGATGTTTCCGAATCAACCACTTCGCGGTGTGCACGCAGGATACAGCCCCAGCGCCAGGTTGAAAAGAAGGAAGAAAAAACAAAACGAGGTAAAGCGTTTTTACAAGGACCCCGTTGTGACCGCTCACGCCGGTCTTATACAAGAAGCCGGGCAATAAAAACGATGAGCGCGAGCAGACCAAGGGTGCCAGCAAACTACAAGCATATGACCCCTCCATTTTCAAGAACAAAAACGGTTGTGAACATACCAGAGGCGAGTGCCAGTAACCAACAAACAATGCGAGGCTCCTTCGACGAAAATGTTATGGGAGAGGGACATACACACCACGCAAAAGAGACAAAACCATGCTGTTCGAGAAGGTACGTACTCACCACGCAAAAGAGATGAAACGATGCCATACGAGACAGCAAGAAAAATTAGCACCAAGCTGTACGAGAGGGCATATCAACGTACCACGCAGAAAGAGATAAAAAACGCCTCTTTGCTTTCTTTCTCTTCCTCTCACCGGTGATGTCGAAGATGGTGGCGCTGTTGGCGTCCACCCGCGCCCTTGCGCCAGCCCTGGCGTGCAGCAGCTTGGCCGTCTCTCGCCGTAGCTCTTTCTCCTCCTCGTCGGAAGCCTGAAAAGGACGTACAGCACACGCGCCCACAACGATAACACATGAGGACGGGTGTGCGTGTGTGTACTCATAGCCGTGCATGCCGTGGTCGTTAGACCATTGACCTCGCATCCCTACGAAGCCGTGACGCNGGGGGGGGGGGGGGGGGGGGGGGGGGGGGGGGGGGGGGGGGGGGGGGGGGGGGGGGGGGGGGGGGGGGGGGGGGGGGGGGGGGGGGGTACTCATAGCCGTGCATGCCGTAGTTGCTAAACCACCAACCTCGGACGGGGAGGGTGGGAGTTAAGTGGAGGTGGTTTAGAAACACCGGGGGGGGGGTAAAAACACTTGGTTCCTCTCTCTTGGGCATGGTCCGAAACGGCGTGAGGGCCGACGACCAGGATCCAACACCACGAGTCCTCGTCGTCGTCGTCGTCCTTGCCGTCCTTGCCGTCCACCGCTATTCACGCACACGAAAACATCCAACAACCCCTAGCTTCGACAACGTGTCACACACCTCTCGGGTCGTGTTCCCGTCGTCGTCGTCGGTCCTCTCAGTCGAAACCACCATGGCAGCGGATCCGGCGGAGCCCCCTTGTCCCCCGCCGGTCTCCGCCAGGCCAGAAACGCCCCCCCCACTGCCGTCCCCCTGTGCCTCGCCGTTCTTCACGGTTGCCTAACCGTGAGGGTGAGGGTAATAACCACAGCATAGTCAGATCTCGCACGCTATAGCGCGTGGAAAACTCACGCCTTCACGTACAACTTTTTTTTGGACGTCTCACACCATCCCGACTTGGGGGGCCTTTCCGGTCCGAGATCCCCCCCCCCGTTTTGACTCTTGCGTTTCGCAGGCCCCAGTACACGTGGGTCAAAGTTCAACGATTCCACCACACCTCCATCTCTGCCCCAAGCATAGGAGAGCTTCGGACGCTCCTACTGGGAACGAAACAAAAAGCGACTAGACTATTAAAGAAACCGTACACCCTTTTCGTGCTGCGGCTCCGTCGGCAGGACGCGAAACCGGCCAGACTGATGACCCCAACAAACCGGTGCGTCCTTTTTCCAATCGTCGTCGCTCCTCACCTCTTCAACCTTGTGCTCCGCCCCGTTGCTGCCGACGCCATCACCGTCTCTGGCGTGGACCGCTGGAGGAGCAACCGCCGCCGCCCCCGGGCTCTGCTTCTCCGCTTGCTGCTGCTCCTCCCCGTCCTTGTCTCCACCGTCATTGGCGTCGTCATTATCGTCGGTAACCGAATCACCGGTGTCGACCAGACCGTCCTCCCCGTCGCCTTCCCACGAAGGGAAGGAGTCTTCCTGGCCGGTCGGAGCCACCTGTGGAAAAATAACACACGCAAGAAAAACATGGCAACGAGTGTGACTGACCCCCATGATGTAATTAGTGTGAAACACCAGGAACAAACGAAGGACGCATGGAGCGGCCAAATAGTTAATGGGTGTGACACGACGCAAACGAAGGACACGCAACGAGTGGCCAGTGTGTGGGAAATGACACAAACACACAAAAACACCGTGGCCCCAAGAAGTGAAATGACCAACACATGAGTGGCCGTAAGACTACTTTGTGGCGTATAACAACACCTTGGGAAAGAAAAAACGGCCCACAAAACATGCCCGAGGGAAATATATACAAGTGTACAAATCGAAAAGGTATGCACATGGTGTGAGGGTATGGCAATCCTTCCTTACACGTGGGGATCTCGTTTGCGCATTGGAGCAGCTTTGCGGAGGAAGGACACATAAAGCACGAACGCTGCCAGGGCTAACTGACGCCTTCGGGAAAGCTCAGAAGCGCGAGCCAGTCTCCGCTTTGCCTTCCATCCCTACCCGGCCGGCACTGGCACTGGAACTGGCCGGGCAAAATGCCCAAACAAAGGCCACAAGTATCCATCAACGCTGACGGGAAGAGAGAACAGACTGGCGCCTTCGGGAAGGCTTAAATCGTGAGCGAGTCTCCACCTTGCCTTCCATCGGCACTGGCACTGGTTCTGGCGGGAAAAAACTACCTAAAACCAGGCCAAAAACACGTCCCCCCCAAGTTTCCATGAATGCTGACAGGGAGGAGAGCACAGACACAACAACTACTCTAGCGCCGACAACGACCCCGTCGCCGGTCATCCTATTTAGCCAGTATCGGCGGTAGCGCCACCAGCCGCACTGAGAACCCGCACGCGTCGCACGGAAAGGAACTCTTCATGATAATTTCTTGCGGAGTCGAGAGATACAGGCTCTACATCTGAGGCGTGGATTCATCGACCCTGGCGGGGGCCGATTGCAAATGCTGTTCGGATCACGGTCGTATGAGAGAGAGAGAGAGAGAGGCCTATACGTACTCATAGCGCTGCCAATACTCGGCAAGTTCGATACTTCCCACTGGATAAAGTTTCCGCATCCATGAGAGCGCCTCTTCGACCGCACGCACACCCAGCGTTAACGAAAAACAATTTCACGCACCTCTGCTCCGATGCTCTGGAGCGCGGCGCGCCAAGCCTTCCCCGCGGAAACATCCTGGAACGTTCCCCGCTTCCCCTTCAGGTCGGACAACGTGACTCGGAAGACGGCAACCGTCTTCGCAGTCCCGCTGCCGTCCCCTGACTCCCCTACCGCCTCCGGCGGGGGCCGGCCAGCGTCACCCCCGGCGCCGTTATCGGGGGCTCCGTCACTTGCCGCAGCGCCCGCGCCGCCGTCGCCCTTCGCGTCGGGGGCGTCGGCACTATCTCCGTCCGCCGCCCCCTTCTCCTCGGGATCCGGAACCTCGACCACTTCCATCACGCAGTGGACCAGGGATTCGTCGGCGGGGGACCTCTCGGTTCGCGACGCCCGGAAGCCCACCGGCGCGAGCCTCCCCAGGGCATAGAAGCCGGGCTCGGGCTTGACCTTCCCGAGAGAGTGGACCTGCACCACCCCGACGTTCGTCGGAAACTTCCTCGACGCCGCAAACCTCTTGAGCTCCGCCCGCGCCCGCCGGTGCGCCTTCTCCCTCGAGGCACGGTCTCCTCGCCGGTCCCAGGCCTCTCCCCCCCCCGCCGCCCCACCGTCGTCGTCGTCCATGTCGCTGGCTCCGACGCCGACGCTCGACGCCGCATCCCCGCCGCCGAACTGCTGGCTGGAGGACAACGGAGACTGGCCGCTGGGGTTCCCTCCCACACCCCAGGGGAGGAAATCCCAGGCTCCCCGCATCCCCCCGCCGCCTGCCCGGTTGGGCGGCGGCGTAGAACTCGTACGCATGCCCGCTTTGCCGCCGGCGCCGCCCAACAGGGACGGGGACGAACGGCCGCCGCCGCCAATGCCAATGCCAAACCCACCCGAGACCCGGCCGTTGAGGTTGCTGAACCCTCCCCCGCCGCCCGCTGACCGGGACCCGACAGACCTAACGGTGTCGGAGATGATGCTGTCGTTGTCCCCTCCTGCTGCTCCGCCCCCGTCGCTGCCGCTCGCACCGTTCCCGTCGTCGTCGTCCAGGCTCCCGTCCTCGGAAGCGAGGGACGGCATCATGTCGAACGCCGAGAAGGCTCGGGGCGGCGGGACCGGGCTCTCCGCCCTCCGCCCAGCGGATCCCTGCTGTTGCTGTTGCTGCTGCTGCTGCTGCTGCTGCCGAGCGGAGGAGGAAGAAGACGCACCCGGGCGCGCCGTCTGCCCGGGCCCGGAACCCCGCGCAGGAGGCGTTGCTGCTACGCGCGAGGTGGTGGCGACACCACCGCCGCCGCCGCCGCCATTGCTGCCGCCGAGGCTTGCATTTTGTTCCACCGCGTCGCCGGGGTTGTGAGCAGGCAGGGCTTGCCCTGCGGCGGCGGCGGGAGCAGTGGCTGAGCCCCCTCCGCTAGCTGGGTGTCCAGGGCTAGGAACGGCCGTTGAGAAAGAGGGTGGTGGGTGGATCGGGGCGAAGCGGCTGCTGTCTGCTGCGCCTCCATCGCTGCTTCCTGAACCGCCGCCTGCTTGCCGCTGAGACGACGGCAGCGCCGTTGGCGATGACTCCTCGCCGTGGTCACCGTTGTCTCGCTCTTCCTCCTCCTCCTCCTCCTCCTCCTCCTCATCTTCCTCCTCCTCATCTTCCTCCTCCTCTTCTTCCTCCTCTTCTTCTTCCTCACCCTCTTCATTACCAGCTCCTCCCTGCCCGCCTTCCTCCATCACGTCCTCGGAGGGTAGCCTCAAAATCTGCAACCAACGCAAGCAGCAAGCACAGGGAGGCGGTGTACTCATAGCCGTGCATGCCGTAGTCATTAGACCGTTGTCGCCGCATCCCTACGAAGCCGGGACGGAGCAGAAGGGTACTTATCAACTATCCACAAACAGCGTCAGAACTAACACAAAGGATAACACCCGGACAGGGGCCCCGCGACATGAACTATTACAGCACTTAATAGCGTAGGCGAGCACCTGCGCCGGAGGCAGATCCCCGTCGGAGCTGTCGTCTCCGTCCGAGCTATCTTCCTCCTCCTCCTCCTCCTCCTCCTCCTCGCTGCTACTTTGCACCCCATCCTCTTCCTCCTCCTCCGGCTCGTGGTCACCGGCGGATGAGTCTTCTGCGGCGTCCCCCGCCGGATCTTCGTCCCCGCCGTCGTCGCCGCTGCTGCTACTGCTCCACACGCCCTCCTCCTGCCCGCTACCCTCGTCATCTTCGTCCATGCGTTCCGCCATAAACAGCCGGCGGCTGCTGCTACTGTTCAACTAGGAGAGCGCGCGAAACAACGGGGGGAGAGTTTTAGGGGGGGCGGGGCGGGTATAAAAAATAGGACGGGCAAGGTAATGAGCGCGTGGTCTAGGACGCGCATGTACCCAAAACGCGGTGACTGGTACAGATGGAGAGAACCAAAAAACGCACTGCTGTTGAACGCAAATGTAGCGTAGATTGCCCGGTATTACGGTGGGACGCTGCCATCGCGCCCATGTGGGAGACACCGAATGGCAGCGTGTACTGCTGTAGCTCTTGCCGCGTAGACTACATGTGTGGCGAGCAGATATTACGCCATGCCGAGTGGCTTACGGGGTGTGTAGGCCAACCAGCTACTGCATGACGCCCGACCACACGTGCTCTCGTTTCCCTGTTCCAAGGGGGGAGATCTGGCACCGACACCACGACACGTTGCTTTGGAGAAAAAACAGTATCGCAACGTTCTTCACGGCCAGCGCCGAACGCAACCCCAATGCAAAAGACAGCAGCAGGCTGGGCTGTTGGTGTGGTCGTGTAGACTAGTCTACCTAGTAAGAGGAATCGCGACTATCTGTAGACTAGTATTCGCGGGACGACGGTACCACTGCCATTTACCGTTACATGCAACACGAGCTGTGAGACAGATTTGATCCCAACAGCAAGTCTTGGCTCGGGATTCCGAAAGATACAATGACATTCAATTCCAAGACCAGGGTAGGGCCTCAGGCAGCAGCTGCGCCAGCAGCAGCAAGCAGCATCGCCTGTGCTGTGCGACCATGGATACACGAGATGCCTACAGCTGTATCGCACCGCATTGGTATCACTTGGGTTCTTGGACGTGGCTTACTAGACCGTCAAAAACCATCCCTTGCGTTCTACCCGAAGCGCATTGCTCCAGCAAGGACACGGACACCGTGTTGAACAATGGCTCTCTCTCTCGCCCAATTTTCGGTTTGTGTGTGTGTGATACGCGACATACAGGCAGTAGTTGCGGCGACAGAAACCACGCATCCACAACCATTTTCAAAAAGGCGCAGCAGTCCTAGATACAGCTAGATCCAATCGGTGCCTGTCATGTGCCATGCCCTGAAAGTCGCGGTCGAGCAACCAAAACGTGTACCTGCTGGGGCGGTCTCCGCATGCTTGCTTTCCGTCTCACGAAAAGGACCAAAGTACACACGGTCCACTGGCTGATGCTCTCCCACAAGCACACCACGTTCCTGTCTCTCTGTCAATAGGGGTGCGTGTGAGCGCCTGTGTTGCCTCGCTTATACGTCCACTCACATACGGGTAGAACCTCTCGACTCCACGCAGTTCGGCTCTGGCCGTCCCTCCACAATAAATAGGACGGTTGTCTGCAAGCCTCTGAGCTGGCGGTGTAGATCTAACACCCGAACTGCAGAGAGGGAGAGAGGAGGCAAGCGATGGAAGCGAGAGGCAAGGGGGCCAACGCATGATAATTGTACATACGGGTGTATTCTCAACCATGCTGCCTCCTGGAGGCTTCCGCTCTGCACTCTGCACTCTGCACTAGTACGTTCACGACACACGCCGACGCGTGGGCGCAAAAATGATTTGTGTACAGCTATCGAGGTCCTCGTTGCTGAGTTTGGTTGCAGCCGGTCTCCTGACCCCGTCCAGAGGCATCGCTGTCGGCAACTGCGGTGAGAGGTTGTGCGGCGCAATGTGACGGCGAGATCATGAGCTCATGATCTCATGAAACACTACGGCTGTGCCGGTGTGTTCGGTGCCTTGCGTCTGGCATAGGTGTAATCTGTTGTTAGCTTTATCAAACACAGGGCTGTTGTTAGGTACCGTGGGTCACTGTATCACGACACGTCCTAGTTTTGCTCTCGTTCGGCGATTCTCTCGTACTTTGTCGAGCATGACACCGACATCATGCAGTGAAATCAACAGTGCGAGCGGGAGCGGACAGCAGTGCGTTGTTTGAACTGCTACATACGGCAGCAGCAGCATCCCACACTTAGACCAAGGTGCTGTACTACAGCAGTCGTAGCTGCTCGGTATTGAAAACAATGCCACGTCTCAATCCCGACTTGGATCGACAATCATGTTGCTACTGCTGTGTAGACTGGTCGCACCATCAAACTGCTGTATCCCGTATCCCGTAAAAATATCGCGGCACAACTTGTTCTTTGTTTCGCCACACGAACAATATAATATGCCCAGCATCCCGCCCACCCATTGCAAAGGTTTCAACACGTCCCCTTAGACTGCTGTGGTATCGTCCCTCGAACGGTCACTCTTTAACGTGTCTGTTTGCATAATTCAACAGCAGCAGGTCTCCGAGGCTCTCTCTTCTCCGCGGCGCGGGTGCCGCCGGTTTCGCCGCTTCCTTCGGCTGGAGACCACCGACACCACCACCTCCACGGGAGGAGGCGGCAGCGGCGGCGACGCTTGGCCCCCGGCGGCGGAAGCTGGGGCGGCGATACGCACGGCCTGCGGCTTTTGTCTTCTCCTTCGGCTGGCGCGACCGAGGGGGGGACGGGGCGAAGAAGCAGCGGTAGTAATCAGCAGCAGCATCGACATCAGGGTGACTGTAGTAGCGGTGACGGTGATGCGCGCAGGACGGAGGACACGGGAAGACCGTCTTCGTCGCTCCCCGCTCGGCAGCGGGAGGCGCGGACGCGTCGGCACAGGGGAAGGCAGGGCGGCGGCTGGGGCGGCGACGGGGACCGACGGGAGGACTGGGGCGGCGACTCGGGCAGGAGCCTGGTGGAGGAGGAGAGGGAAGCGCAGGAGGTGCAGGTACGGGAGGGGAATCGCGGCCGGCGGCGTCGTGTGGCGAGAGTTGTGTTGGTGGTGGTGGTGGTGCGTGGAGGGCATTAACAACTGGCGAGGGTTGGAATTGGGGTGACGAGAGGGGGATGGGAGGAGCAGCGGCAATGATTAGATGGCATATACATTGCCATGATTTGATGTTTTTTTGTGTGCACCTCGTGAAATCGTGAAATCCTCTTTCGCCTTTTATACAACGACGCCAAAGGGTTGACATCCATATGACCTGTCTTAAATATGTGCTGGTAAAATCAGAGCGCCCAATAAGGGCGCCGTCATGTACCGGGAACTGCCTAGGCTTGCAACCGTACCCTCGTCTATGTAGCCACATAGATTGACACCAGAATATTCACATTCACATTTAGTTGTCAACCTTCCTGAGACTGACGTCTTTTCATTGGCTGGTTAGCGCGATCGATGCAATAAAGTAGACACACACACACACGTGCATGGTGGTGTTACGTTTTAGTCCTCCCGCCACACCCACACACGCTTGCCAAATGAACAATTCAGCAGACGCTCAACATTCACGAAAAGCCGAAGCACCCCTCTGGACTCCTCCATGTGTTGGGATACTGCCGATGCCACCGGTAGTGTTTTTTTTCTTGGCGACTCTCGCCCTCCATAAGCATGCATGCGAGTCGTAGCGGGCGTCGCGACGCTTTCGCGCGTGGGGTGTGCGGTGCTTACCCCCGGCGGGCGCAACGTCGACCCCCCTTTCCCGACCCACGAGCAAAGGTGTAAAATATTTGGCAGACGCTCTGTGGCCACGCTGCGGCCATGAATGGTATTGCCTGCACCCCTTCCGCTTCCTCCACCCGTCCCGACGTGGTTGCGCGGCATTGTCCGTTACCATGTTAGTCGCCCGCTTGTGCGCCACAACACGACCGCTTTCATGCGGCATCCAGGACTCGGTCGCATGGTCCGTCGTTTTATGTATAGATTGCCACCCCAACTTGACTTATCCGACCCAACAACGTCCCCGACCCCTCTTGCTACAGGCCGGTTGCTCTGCCCTAGATCCTGACATGCTTTCCCTCGCTTTCAGCCCGCCCACCTACCACACGGAACCTGACAACACGAAAAGATGGCACCTCCTGCCCCCTCCCCCCTTTATCAACTACGGCATGCACGACTATGAGTTCACCCGCCCCCTTCCCCTAGGGGACGCGTGGTCAATGGTCTAACAGCAAAGGCATGAGTGCGCCCCCTCCCCGATGGTACTATTGCCCTTGGGCTGGTTCTCGATCCGAAACAGGGCGCCGTCGCGTTGGCCGCAGCGAAGCGAGGCCCCGGGGAGCGGGGACGGCTGGTGGCGAGCGAGTCGCCGGTCGAGGAGTTCGTCATCAGGGGGAGGCGTGTTTTGGTCAAGAGGGACGACAAGGTGCGCCGGCGGTCTGTGTGGTGTGTGGACCAAATCGAATTCCTGTTGGTAAGACACAGATGGTGGTGTAGGCGTTTCGTTCGTTCTGTGAATAGAGGCGTTTGATTCTGCCGTGGAAATGAATTAAATAGCCGGTGACCCGTGGAATTTCCACACGTTGTTGTCGAAACGAACGCACGGCGGTGTTCCGCCTTGGTGTTCCCCGCCTTGGAACGGTGCGTTCTTCCCGCCTCGTTCGCAAGTGCTGTAGGTCAGGTAAGGTAGGGTTCACTCCAGGTGTTGGTGGGAGTGTTTTGGCGTGATGGTCCCTGCTGTAGCGTTCCACGTCGACGTGATGGAAGGCTAAGGTTGTGTGTGGGAGATTCGCGTGGGATTAGGTAGCACGTGGCGTTTCAAGCCATGGCAGCGCATGCAATGAGAGGGACTATTTCGGACTGTTTATTGCCGTGTGGTGAGGATGATGCAGGGCTGCGATCACTTGACGATGAAAAACTGGGATTTTTTGTTCGCGTTTGTTTGTTTGGCGCTCTCCCTCGGATCTCCCTCTGTCTCTCTCCCCCTCCCTCTCATTCTCCCGTCTTTCCAGGGTATGATTTTGGATGTTGTCACGCGAAATGTGATTGTGCCGCTATGCAGGGTACGTTTCTGTGTCTTGCGCACTGTGATTGTTTGTTTTTAATCGCCCGTCACGTCGTTCACTTCGGCGGCGGCGGCGGTGCACGTGCATACGGGACACACTCACAGATGCGGCTGGCCGAGAGCGGCCTGTCCGGGAACAAGGCCCGCAAGCTCTACGCGCTCAACAAGACCCCGGCATCTTCCTTTCCGGAGGTGGTCGCGAGCCACGGTGGTCCGCAGGCAAGGGACACTCGAAAACACCGCGCGCGCGGCTATCGTATTGTTTTGTTGTTGTTGTACAGTACCACCACAGGACACAGGCACACCCTATTCACGGAAACGACAACGACACGAGGAAAGCTTAACAGAGAGAGAGAGAGAGAGAGAGAGAGAGAGAGAGAGAGAGAGAGTCGTGTTCCTCGCATGTGTTAAGGGTCTGGTTTGTGGGCGGTGCTGGCCGCCAGCCGCGTAGACAACTGAGGGAAAAAGGAACAATAAGTGGCGCAACTTGTATTGAGTGTTTGCTTGCCTTTCCATTCCATGCCATTCGCGTGCTCACACGCTCATTCGGTGAGAGGCGTTCGCTCTACAAGGGATACTGTCTTCTCTTGCGAGCGTCTTTGCTCGCGGCGTGTTTCACATGTGTCTTGGCTGTGTTTCGCCTGCCGTACGTCGCAATAATGACACACCAGAGCAACGCCATGGTGGCGATTGCGGCGGTGGTTGCCAGCAAGCCCGGGTCATCCTTCGTCTACTACACCAAGCCCGTGCCCAAGTGGCTGAGGAGGAACCCCGTCGGGAACTTCGCGAGAACAATAGCTCTCGGGGCGGAGGTGATGCAGCGGCAGTTGTTGTTCGAGGAGCCGTTTGTAGTTCTCTTTGTGTGCCATTCTGGAGGCGTGTTTGGTTAAAAAGTTTTTGTACTCTTCTGTTTTATTTTGATGCTAGCACAAATTATTGCATATACTTATTGTGGCAATGTATCGCTCGAATAGTATACCAAGGCCTACGGGGGTTGGAATGAGAGCTCGAACTCCGTTCTTGGGTTGTAACGGTGGGGTGTGGGACAAGATTCCGTTTTCCGTGAGGCATTTGCTGTGGTGACATTGCTTGCAGACACGGCCGGAGGTTAGACACTTATTGAGGTTATGTGTACAAGAGAGAGGGTGTGGACGGGGCTTGCCACAGGGTCTTGGTCATGGCGTTTGCTTGGGCTAAGCGGGCTCGAATCTCTCGACTTCGCCGTCGCTGGATGGATAGTGTGTGAGGTTGACTTCCACAACTGTGGCGCTTGTCAACAAAAAAAACTAGCATGCTTCGGGTTTGACACCTCTCAGTAAGGCTCTATTTTTCGAGAGAGGTGCGTACAAGCGGTGACGAAGGCGTAGGGAAAGAGAGACGGCAAAGGACACAAGAAAGGGGAATAGAGGGAGGAGGCGTTAATGGAGTGTTAACATATTCGGCGAATTTAAAGAAGACGACATATCGATCGAGAGAGGGAGGGAGGGAGAGATAACGAAGGCCTTGGTTATTGCTGGGACCACTTCAAGTGGTCGTAGAAACACGCACACGGCCGTCCACCGACGGGAGGCGCTTGTGCTTCGAGCGCATCCCGCAAGAAAGCCTTCGATACACGACGTCATCCACGTACCCCACGCCAGCTTTCCTCAATGTTGACGTCAACGCTATCACGATGCGGAGAGCACCCGTCGTCCATTAAACACACAAGGAAGACTAGCTTCGTGCATTGTTCATCCACGTACGAGCGAGTGCCCCTTGTCTCACAACGCCCGCGTTATTTCTCAGACTATTGTTGCTGTCGGAACTGTTTGCTCAGATTATGGAAGTGCACACCGAAGACTACAAGAGAATATTCGGCGGCGCGGACGGGCCAGGAGCGTCGTACTCGGAGGTTGTGCCGGAGGAGGCGTTGTTCTTGCCTCAGGGGGGCGCCGACGCGGCGGCGGAAGAGGTACTGTATCTTGTCTGGTGTTCTGGGAGGGGGAGTACTCATATGTAAACGCATGCCGTAGTCGTTTGATCGTTGACCTCGCATCCCTAGACGGAGGAGCGATATGCCGGGTTGTCGCCGGCCCAGGCTACGGTTCACAAGGAGGAACCAGGAGCTGATCGTCATCCTTGCGCTAGCTTTTGCAAGGTACAATATGCCATGGTTTGATTGGGCGTCCGGGGGGGGGGGGGGGGGGGGG